TCTGCAGATGGGGAAACTGTGAAACTCTTGGTATTAATGTTCCTCCTAGTACCTCTTTACACAGTAGAAAGTGGTAAGACTGTGGGTGGTAATTACAGTTTGTGGTCCCAGCGTGCTAGGCAACATGTTCTCATCACTAGAGATGAGGAGATTGGAGTCCTTCACATGTCTGCTCTTTCTCACAATTTCGTTTTAAGCATTACGCTGATCCTCGAATGGTCTTTTTCTCTACCTGTTAATTTGATCTCTTTCTGTTGCTTGGCTGAGTTGAATGAAGAACGCTCTTTGTCTGGTAAATTTGTACGTGCAGAGCATTGCTTAGCATTCATGTACTGTTCTTGCTTCAATAAAATCAACAAGAGGGTAGAGTTTCTCCATAAAATGAAGTCTGTGTCTTTTGGGGGGTTTTGTACAGTTTTTGGAAGCTTGCAGGATTAATCCACTTAACAGTGAAAAAATAGGTTCTGTCAAAAGTTGGCCGACGGTGTCACATCTAAGCCATGAGGGTGACGCCACAGAAAAAGGCACTGAGGAAAAACAAGAACACTGATCTATTCACCAATCAAGAGAGCAAAGCAGACATCTTAACAAAGAAGTGTTCTGTGTCCAAAACTCCTCAGGAGCGGAAGCTAAAGCCCCCCATACTGTTCTTTTCATCCACAGTCATCCATTCAACACTCGTAAAATAGAAGTTAGAGAGAAAATGTTGCTGAGTTTGAATAGCCAGTGAGCCCCTCATTAAAAGCGTCTACTGTAAAGGCTCTATGAAAATTGGCTTTGTAGACCAACAGTTTATCTATTTCAGAGTTCACAATACTTCCCTAGACTTTACCTCCCCTTGAAATCATTCCAGCTGGCCATTGATGGCATGGATAGGTAGTAAGATTTGCTGCAAGTTATAGGAACGGTTGGGAACGATGACTCTTGCAGGACACTTCTCATTTTAATTTGTTTCAAGCAACATTAAATTGAGAGATCTGAAAGGACATTACTTATTCACAGGTGATGTAGTTTTGATCAAATGTAGCCGGCATGCCTGAAATAAGTAGCATGTCACACAGCGCTTAGTGTGCCGTGTGGTTCTTGGGTGTTTGTGAACTGTATAATTTGCCCCACCATAGATTCACGTCAGCATCTCCGCCATAATAAGACCTGCGTCACCGACGGTCATGCACAGGCATTGCTCAACGCTTGCACCTCTGCACAACTTTAATATGAGCGTGCGTGTCAGTCAGCTACATTGATCGAACACAAAAAAGAGAGAAAATAGACAGAAGCTAATGTGATTTCAGAGTCTAGTTTTCTATTTCTGGAATAATATACTTATGTCTGTTCCCCTCCATATGTATGAAATGAAGCAAAGAAGAGACTGGTGAAATGAAGAAAACCTGTTACTCTAAGTGCAGAAAAGTCATAATCCATGTAAAACAGTTGGGGATTAATGGCAACCCTTTTTAAATGAGTCTGGCCACATTACCAAGACAGCTAGAAAGCTCTCCTAGCCTTCCCAAGCAGTTGTAATGAAGATAAGTCTGGGTTTAACAATGCTTTCTTGAGTTGCCAGTTAATTTAAACTCAGTATTGTATGGGGAAAAACTAATTGTAGCCTGCCTTCCACCCTATGACAGATGGGATAGGCTATAGGAACTCTGCAACTTTGAATCGGATTGGTGGAAGAAAATGTATAGATGGATGGATGCTGTAGGAGTTTTAGAAATAATGTTCTCTGCTGGGTCTCTCATAGGGGAATTTTGATGAGCGCCGAATTCCAGCGACTACATGAAAGGGCTGCATTGTTTCTTTGATGAAAGGCCTGCAGTTACTCAAAGTCAAAGGGGATGATTGAGCCAGTGTTGCTCATATTAGGCTATCATAATATTACTGCAATCGATTGTGACAACATTACAAACCTAGGATCTATTCTTAACCAAGTTAAAGGTCAAGGGCTCATCATCACGCTCATCCAAAGCCACCAAAATAGAATTTACAGGCGGTGGAGGGGTGAATGGATCAGTGGAATATTATTTTTTCCATCCCCACATGTTTCACTTCCTAATTTCCAAGAATTCCACACAACCACAACAGTTAGCTAAAACTATAAGGTGACCTGTTACGCTAGTTGAAAGTGTTTTTGTTTAAACCAAAATGGCATCCACATCCTGCTCATCAGGAATTTCTCAATGACCCTGACAAGGACTTTTTTTCAGGAAACTCGAGCTGAACTGCCCAGAAATGGTTACTGTCTTATAATCGAGTTTAAAGTCTTGAATTGTAGTCATAGTGTGGGCTTTAGTGTGCTTTCTTGTTTCATTCAAACCTAGGGCTGTTCGATATAACGATATATATCGGATGACGATATAAAAACGTCTATCGTTTCATTTCACGCTATTGTTTGTTTCGTGGTGTCGCAAAATAAACTGTTTAGGGCAATATTTTTTCATCGTTTTGATGGTCACTGCAGTGGCTATATTCATTTCTTAAACTTCTCTCTTTCTCTTATATTGAATATAACCACACTATGGACGGACAAGCGCCTGTTTTTATGCGTTGTGGTTAGCAACAACGACGGTAACGTCATCGCGTGTCCGGTTGTTTATGTTCCACATAAACCTTTCTCAATAAAGCTCAAGATCCTGTTGAGACTTTTCAAAATAAACTGAATCACGTGAAAGAGCAGATTGTTTACGGATGAGAAGTAAAGAAGAGCCGCCAGGTGCTAAAAAATAAACCTTAGACTCAAACGTTAGAACAGGCTTTTCCCCGCAGCACGCCGTGTAATAAATACAAAAACGGCGCCGTTACAACTTATGTCTAAAAATGTATCGTTTCATGCATCGTTAAAACACTCGACTCCAGCTACACGACGCGCAGCTGGAAACACTTCCCGCAAGTCGAGATTCACAGAATTTACAGAAAATGTTACATTTTTGTGATTTATATCGTTATTGGGAATTCTTATATCGGGATATGAGATTTTGGTCATATCGCACAGCCCTATTCAAACCAGATCTGAAGATCTCTCAGCTTTTCTAACTTGCGACTCCAGAAATGAACGGATAATCTTTCACCATCTGCATTACAGTGTTGATTGTTTTCCTGTTGAAAAGGGGAAAACCAAAACTACTGTAATGTGTGGCCTCTTGGCCGCGAACGGAACAAGTCCCTATGAGAGTTGCATCAGAGTTATACAACAGGACATAGTTGGTCAGTTGGACTTTTTACCGTGGTTTTGGGTTTTTTTTCAGGGTTTTTTGGGTGGGTTTTTGTTAAGTTTTTGGTGTTGTTGGTAAAAGTTTTTTTTGTGTGTGTGTGTGTGTGTGTGTGTGTTTGTTCTTTTCACTAACACAAAGCTAAAGATGATGCATGGCTTTGTACAGAAAGCACCTCCTAACTTCCCCTGATCTCTTTCAGATTTGTGCAGTGTGCTTGGAGGAGTTCAAACAGAAAGATGAGCTGGGGATTTGTCCATGCAAACACGCCTTTCATAGGAAGTAAGTACACGCACACATAGACACACATGTTTGTACACATCCAGTCAAGGACAAACAAGTCATTATAGATTTCCTTATCTGGATGGTGTATTTCCATTGATTTTCCCGCTTTTTAGGTATAGTAAATACAAATCGGTAGATGTTCTGCAATTTCAGAGACTTCGGGTGAACCATTATTGTCAAGCTTGTTGCGTTTGTGTGGAAGCCAACAATAACAAATGCCTCAGAGTTGCATGTTTTTGGGACATTAAACTAAAGGCCATTGTTTATGAATTGGGAACTGCAGATGACATGTTAGATTGCTTCAGCCTGTTTGTCCCACACCTCCCCCCATTACCTCCTACTTCAACTGAGTTCATTATAACAGCACGGTGCCTCCCTTGGCCTAGTTTTTCTCTGCAGTTGCTGCAAGAGTAGTGACCCCTCACCTTTATACACACTGCTCTGCTCTAGTGCAAGGTAAGGAAAGGCATGCCGCTGTGCAGAGGAAAAGGTTTATTGAGGAGGGTATTGCTGGGTAGATCTTTTTACAAATGATGACAAAGAGAGGCAAATTATACAAGAAAAATAGGGTTCCAGTGAATGTTTGGTTAATGAAAAAGAAATAAAATAAAAGAAGTGCTAGTGAGTCATGCAAGTGCAGAATTATTTGTGAATTTAGAGATATGTTTGTCTTAATCCTTGCGTGTAATCAAAATCTGTATCAAGATTTGTGGATGTGTACATACAGTTGTAGATGTTGTTTGTGGTTATTAACAGCTTAAAGTGTTGCACTCTGAGAGCTGGAAATAAATCTCCTCTCACCTGGCTGTCTCTTTATGAGGATTTTGGCTACACTTGGGTCTGAGCGGCTCTAGGAATAGATGCGCGACGGTTTGCAAATGTATGTAGGTTTTTTTCCTAGTTATTGAGCTGATATATGTTTCATATTTTCCTCTTGAACACAGCCACTGGAAGACCGAAAGGAACGCTTCTGGTGATCTACATTTGACCACTTAATTATTATTATGAGCTCTGGGTAATGACCAAAAGATTGAGAAACAAAACACATATTTACTTATGAGATGAAACTTGTGGCAAAGAACGCTTTTAAAAGGGCGCCCCCATTAGGCCAGGTGGAAATAAAACTCCTATAGAAAGCCGCGCAAGCATGTGGAGAACATGCAGACACAAATATTTTAGGATAAACCCAGAAAAAAAAAAGTGGTCTTTGGTATATGAGGTTTATATTTATTTGCCCCCTTTATTTTCCACTCTGCGTGTTTTTGGTTTTTTTTGTCTGTTTCTTCCAGATGTAATTCTCCCATTTATCCGGGGTTGGAATCGGCACGTCACTAACTTGTGACCCCTCCTGAGACTCATGTGCAAGTCTTTAATTCATACTTAGTTTTAGTCATAATTTAGGCATCTAAATTCTTGTAGTTTTGGTCTAGTTTTAGGTTTTAAAAATAATGGCGGGGCTGATCAAACGTGTGCGTCTAACCTTACTGCAGGAGATTAATTCTGATTGGATCTCGTCTCTCCAGAAAAATTTTGTCTTGTTTTTATTTGTTAACAAAAGTGTCAGTGCATTTCTTCATAGTTCTTCATACTTCGTTATCATCTCGTTTCCGTCAAAGAGGTCTGTGGTTATGACGTACCTATGGGGTACATTTAATAAAGAAGTGTAACCCCCCCCCCCCCAAAGCGAATGTGTTAACTGCACATATAAATATAAATATGCCATACGTGTTGCTGTTGTCAGTTATCAATTCCATTACGTACATTGAGAGCTAAGAGCTAACCGGAGCCCATCTCCGTGTATGTGAACCCATAATAATCAATAAAGCTGATTCTGATTTTGATGCTTTTTCCTGCTTACTAGCTGCTATCCTATATTTCCTGTACCCTCTGTACTTTACTGAATCGCTCGCTTCTTTCATCCCTGCCTTTAACTATAAACGCTGTGCTTTTTCTTTCCTTCAGGTGCCTCATTAAGTGGCTGGAGGTGAGGAAAGTGTGCCCGCTGTGCAACATGCCCGTCTTGCAGCTCGCCCAGCAGGCCGGCAACACAGACCCTCCTGTGCAGATAGAGCAGCCTTTGCCTGGCATTGAGAACTTGGTGTAGCAGACTGACAGCCTCCTTCACAGTACACTACAAACACACGCATCCCGACACTCATGCTCTTACCTGTACAGGTACACTTTTGGTATGAGTGCGTGGACAGACTGGAGAAACTGGAGCTAATGCTCAGATCTACGCAAAAGCTGCGAATCTGCCGCCATCGCCACCTCTCGTATCTTTTTGCATCGGTTCACAAAAGGATTTCCTGACATCGGCTCTAACTGAGAGTCATCTGTTTTCATGTATTTTTATTTTCACGGACAATGAAGAAGAGCTGATAACGAAGAAGTTTTCCTTTTCGACCAAGACGGTCGATAACTTTTTCACAACCAAAGCACTTTTCTGGGAACGCCAGAGAAAGACCAGGAGGAAGAAGGAAAAGACAAAAGAACTACAGTACACTAAAATCTGAATAGTTTTTCTTTTATTTAACAAGCACTTTATGAGAAAGGCAAACCTGAATTTGCATGTGGCTCGTAGTCCCATGGTCAATATATTTTATCATTAACTCTCATTTCCATGTACAGTACAAATAAACCAGGGTTAGATCATTTTGGATTTTTTTTGTTAACAAACAAAATGTACATACACATCAGAAAGGGACATCGATACCCACTGCAGTGGATGCGGGGAAATTTGGAGTTTGTTTAGTTTGTGCTGCACACACACAAGAAACCGAAGTCAAAGTATCCTCGACTTTACGTCTGACTGAATGTGACAGGTTTTTACACGCACACAACCCACACGCACACACAATTCAGATGAAACATGAAGAATTTGTTCCCGCATCGCCCCACTCGCCTCATTCATAATGTTACAGTTCTCCTTTTTTGTAAGGATTCGAACACATAAAGATGATGCAGTGAACTAATTATAGCATCAGCCGTGTGTGGATACTGTCACCCCTCCACAATCCAGGCATTACTTACAGTTGAGATCAGTCACAGGAAATCAACATTTCACGGTGCCCACTGTTTTAACCTCAAATTGTGTTGGTGTGTATGCACTGATGCTTAATCTTTAAACAGTTAAACAGAGCCAACAGAAGGAATCAAGCACTCAGACGTTTCCCAGGTAACACAGATGTTGCGCTTTGCTTCGCAGCGTTTTTATTTCATTGAAGCCGAGCTGCGCGGGTGCCGCAGAGACTCGTCTTCGCGAACATTTCACAGAAACAAAGTGTCATACGGTCGAGTCGGCGTCACTCGAAATATCACCGCACGTCCCTCTGAATCTGAATGACTTCTGAGTTTAAGCACGCTGCATTTACCGCTGAATTTGTTTTTGCTTCCGCTCTAGTATTTATGCTTTTTTAAATATATATATATATATATTTATTGTGATATCTCGGTACAGCTTCATAGAGAGAACGAGTTAGTGGACTCAGCAAAGCTTTCAGGCAACATTTCCACACATACATTGGGAGGGGCTCGAGCCGCAAACCCCCCTCCCGCCCCCACCCACAGAGGTAGCAGTCAGCAGGTTGTAATGAAGCAGCAGTTTCATTCACACACGCGCACACAAGTTCAGCTTTTTGGCCGTGGTATTCTGGCGCTTTCGCCCCTCGCCTCTCTGTATAGTACAGGGTGCTTTTGTTTCGTGCCACACAGACATTAACCCTGAACCCCTGACCTTTGTGTTTTTGTTTTTGTCTCCTGTTAATATGTTGTTGGGCTAAAAGAAAAAAGCTTCATCACTCTGAGATGAATTAGAGATTGTCATTTTATCAATGATGTGTGCTATCCAGTAACAGCTGTGTGTTACCTTTTTTAGAAGCACAAACAACAACAACAACAACAAAAAATGAGCCCCCGCTACAAAAAGTGAGCTTTCTGTCAGGGCTAACATGCTAACTGATTGTTCTGTTTTCTGGCTGCTTTCTTTCTGAATTATTACACAAAGGTTGAGGCTCACAATACGTGGACGATGCTTCTTCCATTGTTACTTTGATCTGAATGTCAGGCCACACACACACACACCGCAGTGTTGACCTCTGTGGACATTAAATAAGAACAAAAACAGGGTTATTTTTCTGTCTTGTGTGAGGGTCACTCCTCCTGCATGGAAGCAGCACGGTGCTACATAAAAATGTTTAGGCTGATTGAAACGTATTGGCCAATCCCAAACAGACTTATTAGGACACTTGGTGAGCAGGGCGTGTATCAGACAACATCTCCACTTCAAAAGAGTTTTATGTTGAACAAATGAAGCAGCATCAAATCCTGCAGCGTATGACGGGCAGTATTTGTTGCCTTCTCTCTTCTCGGTTTTGGTTACAAAAAGGCTGTGACTGTTTTTCTGCACTTATATTAATCCAAGATCTTCGCTTTATCTTTCTTCCACTGTCCCCCGATAGACGCTGGTAATAACACAAGTCTTAATGCTTTGTTCCTGCTAGTGGATTTGTCTTTGAATGTATGTTTCAGGAGAAAAAGGACAGATTTAATGTGAAAACGTGCTATTTTGCGTAGTCAAGTTGCCACTTTGTTTCACCACTGTTAGATGTATGTAGATGCTAGTATCATAAATAGTGTTTTTACACACGGTGCACAAAGAGAAGAAAAAGCTCCTTCCTGTAAACTGAACGGCAGCTGACACTTCCCTGCAGTCTGCTCTATCTTAAATGTTGCTCGATTGTAAAACACCTTCCACCTGAATTTTTTCCTTCCCGCGTGCCGTCCCGATCCCGCTAAAAGAGAGCGCGCCAACCCACGGTGAATCAGATTGATTGAGCAAAGAGATGCGAGGGAGTTTCTGTGAGGCTGCGGGCAGAAGAGGCTGGAAGCTGAGCCAGTCATGAATATAGTAATGATGAACGACTTCCCACCGCTGAAATCACCATTGACGTCAGCGCCGCTCCTGAGTTACCTCGGGCTATAAATAGACGACAGTCAGGAGCACAGTTTTACACCGAGAATCTACTCGTATTGTGAGTGGAGAGCTTCCGAATGACGGCCTCACAAGCCACTTTTATTATTGTCCCTTTAGGGCAAGGCGTTTGATGGGGGAATGTGACAGACTCAGTTTTATTCATTAAAGAGTAAAGTTGTTACCCTTTCCTTTCAGATGAGGGTTGCGTTACATTTCCGTGGTTGATTTTAGCGACCAGACCATTTAATTTTATTTTGAAATCTCTATCACTGCCGCCCTCAAGTGAACTTTCTTCTTGTTTGTATGGTGTGCTATTTATTTCACCACTGCTCCAGTAGTGACCTCCTTACCCACCAATACTCCTCCCACTCCTCCCCTTTTTATTTTAAATGTTGTCCAAACAAATCCTCCCACCTCCCAGCTTGAGCAGTGTACCTGAACACACCCTCTTGCCTCTTTTTTTGTTAACACTGATTACGTTTGTGGACTTTCACAGACATTTGTTTGTAAAACTAAGAATTCTGCAGCCAGAATATTTTTGGAGACAGTCAGTATTTGTAAGCTCTATTTTTGTATATTGTTATTTTGGAGAAAATAATATGCTTTTTTTTTTCTTGTTTTTTGCTAATTTTATGGGTATTCATTTCAAGAAAATGTTGCATGTGACTTGAGTTGAACTGTAAATAAAGTTTCCAAGTTTTGGAAGGATGTTTGTTGTGTTTTGTCTTTTCCTCTTCCAGATGTAGTCAAAATGTATCACTAAATTTACAACTCAGGAAAAATAATGTCTGTATGTCCTGTCTCAAGATGCATTCAGTGCCTCTTGGCTGGACTGGTGTAATTCAGTATAAGCAGGGTGTTCTAAAAGTTCCCTGAAAGCCTTCTGTTGATCCAAAACTATACTGTGAGACTAGTAATTCTCTGTATTGGCTTCCTGTTAAATCCACAAACTTGCTCATGCTTAGTTGTCTAGATTTTTCTCCAGAATACTCTACAGAGATTCACAGTCTAAACCACCTTGAAGTGACTGTTATTGTGATTTGATGCTATATAAATAAACCTAATTTGAATTCAATCAAAATTATAAATATAAATAAAAATTATGTTCCGCTGTTATCCTGGTGACTGACAATGGCTTCAGAAAATTAAGGCCACCACCTCTGTTTAAGTCTTTTTTTTTTTCTTCACTGATATCATTTACTCCTTTTTGGGACTGTTTGCCAGTAAGTATCAGTAAATATGATGCACCAGCGCCACCTTCTGGTTAAATACTCAAATGTTTAAACTGCATTTTCAGTTACAATATAAAAAATTTTTACTGACTGCATACTTCTTGGTATTGCAGATGGATGCGGTCCTGGTTGTTGAGCAGGACAGACGAGAGGCAACTGTAACACTTTTATTTTCTCCAAAAAGATGTTAGAAACTCTTAATCAGAGCACAGCACACTCAGGGTCCGTCTGTTTTGTGTCTGTTTCAATAAACAGAGTCTCATACACATGTTAATAACTGATGGACAGAACAGGCTGAGAAAGTGCTGGTGTGGCTTGTTTTTGTCACCCTGTAAAATGGTCTCAAGTTTGAGGACATTGTTATCCTAATGCTAGTGTAATGCTACTTTACTTCAACACCGATCACTTTTATGTCAGCATTCCTATTTCAGCCTCTCCCTTTTATCTGACTGTGAACTCATGTCTTGTGTGCGCATTTTAGTTAGAGCGTTTAAATTTGTGTCATACAACATACAAACTAGCATCCACAAACTTAAAATCTATAAATATTAGTTAGCACTTTATAATGATGTCACGCTATTAAGCACTAGTAATATATTAATAAAGTGCTAGTAAGAGCTTAATTCATCATTTATGATGACATTTATAAATACAGATACATCATTATGATTATATATTTATAAATGACACACTAAGGAGGAGTAATGCTCTGTAAAAGATGAACTAAGCACTTGCCAATACCTTATTTAATACTTAATAGTGTGACATTACTATAAAGTGCTAGCAAATATTTTATATCGTTTTTAAGAAGAGAAACCATCAGAATATCTGTGAAAACTCCAATAGACGGCTCATTTGATCTGACCCATAATGGGAAACTGGTCCAGTATCTAAAAATGCTTTTTCGTAAAATGTAGTTTATCAGTATAATATCAGTATTTTATTTAACAAGGGGCTGTCCTGACATAGATTATGATGTATTACTTGATAGATAGATGTTTGTTTGTCTTTTTTAATTATCAACCCTAAAACTGACAAGTTAGCATAGATACGTTGGCCCACTCATCAGCAGTTTTCTGTGGAAATGTGAAAACGAGGACTAGGCCTGATCCTCTCAGCAACCTCAGACCAAAATCAATTAAATGCTGAACGTCCATTGTTGCTTTGGCAACAGTTTGAAATGGTTTGCAGTTACTCTCTGTTGAATTTTAAAGCGATAAGATGGCCCACTTTACCTCATGTCCCGGTTTTGTTGGGATCACACTATTGATCGGTCTTCCACTGTCTATCCTGAAGCGCCAAATGATGTTTTTAAAATCTGCTTCAAAAGACTCCATGATCTGATTTATTTTCTTCTTTCTTCTTCAGATAATTGAAGGTAGACTTCCTTACTTAATGTCGATTACATAAAAATCGATTTTCAGAATTATTTCAGGAAATAATAACATTTTTTATTACAGTGTTATAACTCCATCTGAGTCAAAGTGATCAAAAAGTCATTTCAACATATATTTAAACTAAGGAAGAGAAAAGAACAACAAACTTTCGGTTTGATCACTTTTATTAAAACGTGACCACTTTGCATCACCTAGATCTTAAAACCTGTCAACAGAAGTGCTTCATGTCATGATTACACTGTTTGATATTTAAGGATACATTGTGTGTGATGCCTCTCTGTGAATAACAAAGATTAGATGAAGGCAACACAAGAAGAAGCTAAACAGGAAGGAGGCGCTTAAAGAGTGAGACAGTGAAGTAGCACACAGCCAGACTGCTCATGAACATGATCCCAGGGTGAGAGGCCACCGCGGCGTTGCTTGAAGTGCTGTTTGTTGTTGTTGCAGTGTTGTTCGCAGTAGCGGTGCTGATTGTGCTTGTCATGTTTGTTGCAGTCGTGGCAGTGGCAAAGGTGGGAGCGGTTGAATTTACAGTGGAATTTGTCTGGGCATTTGCTGATGCTGCTGATTGATGAGTAAAACAGAAACAGAGACAGAAAGAGAATAAAGTAAAACACTTAAATGAGAAACTGTTTTACTCACCGATGATCAGGATCTGTATCAGAATGGTCAGAAGCATTTTTGATCTCTGTAATGCCTGAAAACCAAAAGGAAAATTGAATATTTTGACTTTAAACATTACTGTCTAACAAGCAAACGGTCTAAAAGAGAAAGCTGAACAACCTGTTAAAAGTGTGTTACTTACAACACTCCTGTATTTTAATTTCTCTCAGCTCAGTTGTCTCAGTTGTGAACTTGTCTCAGTGCCGAGTCTTCTTGCACCTCAGATGAGCAACTTCGCTTCAAGCTGTGAGTTCTTCCCGTCTTTTATACTGTTAATGGCAGACATGAGGAATGACATGAAAGAGACACCTTTTTGAAGGATGGCCATTTCTTTCACAGCAGCCACCTAAGTTTAACAAACTGCTTTGTTCATGCGTGCATCTCCAGGCTTGTGAGATTATTGACAGATTACAAAGGAATCGGGTTGGTCGCAGGTGAAGAAAAGCAGGATGTGTGTTCAACATGCTAAAGCCATGTCTTGTGTCTGCATACTTACTGGTGACGTTAACGTGTCACAACCAAGGTTAGAAGAAAAGTCCCACAGACTCATCTAGTGGACATCATTGCTAAATTAGGCCTAATGTCTTACAGCAGGATGATTCTGCTTTATTCATATAATCATTTTTTAACTGCACTTAAACAACTTCTATTTTTCTTAGGCTGTCTGGAGAAAAACGTGTTAGATCTTCTTCCTTCAGAACAAAAACTCCAGACGCAAAGAAAAATCTTTTGATTGAATTGGACTGAAAATAACTACAGTGCACCTATCTTCAGATGGCTGCGTCCCGCAGGACATGACAGTGATATGGACCAAAATTTCTGACAAAATGTTTCAAACAGCTTGTTGAATCTACGCCATGAATTAAAACAGCTCTGAAGGCAAAAAGGGGGTCTAACTCAGTACTAGCAAGATCGTGTCCAATGAGTGTCTAGCCTTTAAATCTTAAGAACGGGATGCTTTTATAGTTCAAAAATGTACTTTTGGAGGACAATCTGCTCATAAATGATCTTAGACTCCCATTTCTGAAGTTCTGAATAAACCATCAGTTCACAGCCCATTAATCATCAAACACAGTTTCACAAATATAAAACCAGCATTATTATAGTTTGTTTGTAGTGATATAAAAATACTGTCAGCCACCAGTTCTCCCCCTCAGCCTCAGTGAAGTTTTAATAAATAAATGAGTGGAAGACAAGAATGAGTCAAAATCCAGAGCAGATCAATTTTATCACATTTATTTCTGGACTTTAAGTTAAATCTTGGTCAGAGTTTTTCTGTTTCTTTGTGGGTTTGCCACTCTGCTTCTGTGACTTCTGCAGCAGAGCCAGCGTGTCTCGCTTCTCAATCTTTCTGAGATGTTTCTTCTTCATCCTCTTTATCTTTGACGTATTCCGGATCTGAGAAACAAACGAGACATAAAAGTCAAATATGAGCTGATTGGAATATTACAATAAACCGAGAAAGCATTAACACACGAGGGAATGAAGAATATGCCAGTATTTCTTTTAGCTGGAGACAAGTCGACATACCACTTGAACAATCTCAGCTTTGCGTTCGTTCTCTTCTCGACGTTTTAAGTTTTCTTCTCTTCTTTTCCTCTTTTCCTATTAAAACAGGCAAAAACACAAAAACAAGTGAGGTGCAAAGCGTTGACAACACAATGGTCAGGCAGACCTGCCTCACTCACACGGCCTGCCTCCTTACCTCCTTCTGTCGAGCTTTCTCATCCTTAAGCTGCAAGGAATACTGCTTCACCAGTGCCTTCTCCCGCTTGGCCTCCATCTTCTTTTCCCAAGAGGAGCACAATTGTTTGTCTCTCACTAAAGCTGAAAACCTTAGAAGACAAAAAAGGTTCACACTAAAGTTTTACCAACAAACTTCAGGGCGATCTGTACAAGACATCTCATTATAAACAAAACCTTATTACCAAGAACTCTCATCACCTTCCTCATTAACTGCCATGTACGTGCTTTTCATTCACATACAGTACTATATAATAATGATTATTATTATTATGATGATAATAATAATCGTCCTCACCTCGCCTTGCTCCGGTCCTTCCACACTCTTCCAGATTTCGGTTTTCCCAGAGGAATGGCCGGGCGGGGCTTCTCACTGGGAGCTAGGTGAGGCTTCTTCGGGACCGGCTCTGCTGGAACAGGTCTGGACAGAGGAGCGTCTCCGCTGCCGTTAACGGTGGA